TTCCGGTGCGGTCAGAACCCAAAACCACTTCGATTCTCCCGAAAGTCGATGCAACCACACGGTTCAGTAGAGCGATTTATAATTATGCAAGTAGACCAAGACTTTATTGAATCGATGGAACGTTGCCGGCCCTCTCCGCGAGTTTGTAAACACGTACATAGGACTCAATCTACAAGGACGATTCGACTTAGAAGCAAACACGTATCCTTACTTGTCTATATCCTGGAAGCTCGGCGTCACTTTGTATTCCCGTGATATCCCGCAATGCTCTTTGTATCACCGGTATGCAGTACACTCCCAGAGCCAGCTGTTCATCCACTAGCTCCTTCATTCGCGGTTCCATGCCCAATGATCGCCCTTCTTTGGGAGAATGATGATGATGCCGATGTGGTTGCTCATTGGAGTAAACATGCACGACTGAACTCATCGCCAAATAGTGCACCATGATCATCTCAGGCACAATAGGTGCCTCTCCTGTGTCCTGGTCCTTTGCAATCCGACGGTTGCGACTTGGATGACCGCATGCACTGCAGTACATGTACTTTTTCGTACCACTAGTTGTTCGATTTGTCCTAATACATCACACAAGAGCAGATCGGGTATCAGCTGAGCTGATCTAGCTTCAGACTACTACCTGAGAGTTGAATGGATTTGTTCTTTCTGCAGCTTTCCGAGCCACTCATCAGCTTCGTTTTCATTTTGAAAAATATGGATCCTGACCCAACGGCCACCAGGCCCTCTTTTGTTCCCCGCCACGGGTTCTTCATCCTCGCTGACGATATGCGAGACGCCCTCCTCGACAGTTCGATTATCATTCGTCGACTTGCTCACAACCGAAGGCTTAGAGGAGTCTACTGGGCCACCAGGTGCTCTCATGAGGCTCTCAGGCAACGAGGCCGGACCGCGAGAAACTCCATCTGCGCACATACTAGACGACGGACATACAGTCTTCTCTTGTGGGATCTCCTGAAGACCTAGACTAAACTCCTAATGTGTACGTCATGGAGATAGCTTGCCCGTTGCAGGGGACCTTCCTCACGTCTCGCCGGCATCCCTGAGATATCTCTCATTTTCATCTGCTCAAGTTCGACTGTTGAGAA